TCTCACTCTCTCTATATATATATATTCAGCTCTCCTGTTGCTCCAAATACATGTACAAGTACTATGAAAACCATCTTTACGTTCATCACTAACAAACTGCTTTTGTTCCTCTCCTCCACAGCCCATGCACCCAGCCCGCCGCCCCACTCTCCGGTCTCCACGATTTCTCCTGCCCCTTCTCCTGTGTCTTTTCCTGGCTCTGTCCATGCTGGGAGTACTGATGACCATCATATGATCACCACGGCTTGATCTGTATAGTGGACTGGAGGCTGAAACCTACTGATTCTTCATACAATGACCTACGCTCTACGCTAAATGATCTCGGAGTGTAGAGCATTGATTCAGGAAGTCAGTTTAACACACATATAAAACATTTTACCCACAACTCAAGAAATGCAACTGACGATCCATAAAGAGTATGGCCCATGACCAGTTACAATCTAAACTCTGACTTTTTGGATGAGCCATCAGTAGTCAGCAAAGTATACGCCGTGACTGTGACTGTGTCTTGAAAGCCAACCAGGCATCAGTCATTCAAGGGTAGAGCTGGGAAATGAGTCGCTTCAGCAAAATCCGGATAATATTTTAGTGCACCTCTTCTTATGATATGAACCGCTTCGGCAAATGGGTTAGAATCACTTTGACAAACGGGTTATCATCACTTCAACAAATGGGTGCACCCACTCCGGCATACAGGTCAGGAAAGAGAGTAAAGAGTCTGAAATCGGATAATGTTTCATTGAGAATTATCCGGTTATCCTTTCGGATTATCCGGATTTTGCCCACCTCTATTCAAGGGATGTCGTCCATGAGAGCAGCCTGAGACACACGACGTGCATCATCTCATTGTATGACCACACACGGAACTCAGTTCCCCCTTGCCCCCAGTCATTCAACGAAGAAGTCGACCACCCAGTCACTCTAATCGATACTCTTGATCTTACAAGAATTTAGCCTCTAATGGCTATCCTTCTCTTGACCACCGAGAAACCCATGTGCAAAAACTGGTAAAGGGACCGAAGTTGCCACAGTCTAGTCAGGACAATACCGTGACGTCACATCTGTTTGTTTGTTGATATATTATGTCAAACTCCACAGAACCTGTTATCACTTTAAGACCATACGTGCCTCTTACCCACACTCTATTGAGGTAATACTAATGGCGTTCTAAGATTAATTCAGCAACATAAGGGAACGTGTATTTCTGACTATCAGTTTGGCTTTGGAATGACGTGTTTTATCTCCTTGTTCCTTCTTTACTCAGAGTAACTAGCGAGGGAGGGCTGGGGGGGGGGGGATAGAAGGGGGTTTGGAGGAAAGAAATGGGGAAAAGGAGAAGGTGTGGGAGGGGGCGAGGGCGGAGGTGTTAGCTTCACATTATTATAGAGCAGTCAGTCGTGAAAAGGACCAACAAGTGTGCGTTCATTGGAAATCGAAGCGGACTCCAAAATATTTTGGTCGGAACAAGTCCTATACTACTTTAATAGAGGGGCCTTATCTTATGTCTAGTAGGGAGTTTGAACTCAGCAAGATTAAATATAAATTATAGAGAAACGAGGCACTCATGAGGTCTCTTTTCACGGCTAAGTAAGCTGCATTTTTTCAATGGTTTGATATTACCCCACTCTGAACTGGGCTATCTGGCTATTCCACAGTAACTGAAGGGACATTTTGACTATAATATTTTCTTACAATGATAAAGCTGTAATTCAGTATCCATTAATTTATTTTAACTTTAAATGACCAGAACAATTGAAGGATATATTATCAGGAATCAAATTAAATGCAGTCATTAAAAAAGATTTTTTGCAAAGTCTGTGACGGGTTTAGTTTCGGGTAACTCTAAGGACTGAACAAATACCTCATTAATTATCCTGTCAGTTTCCTTGGAATGGCTCTATCCAAACCCAAGTAAAACAAACATGCCCACAAAGAGAAGCACGCAACTCAGAGTACGTGCATTGGCATCCTTCAGTGTTGTTTTCGTTAGTCGTGTGGTGTTCATTCAGGAAATTACGAAGACTGAATTCCTTCCCCGTCTTTGTGTCTGTATCAGTATACACATGTATGTATGTGACAGCACATTATAGCACGCACAAGCAATGCATTTAAGACTTGAGCTGGACTCAAGATTATGGTTCGACTGTTTGATACAAAATTATCGTTTATCTTGCATTTAGCAACATGATCTACGATAGCGTTCTATTAAATTGCAATCAACGTTTTTGTTATAGAAGTTTTCGTTTCATTTGACCGATATTGTAATGTTAAATGTAAATATGTATATACGTCAATTGTGTACTTGTAACGGTTGTGGGATATAAAGAAAGACATTCTCTGAAGAAGTGACCGTGAGACTGTGAGCACGAGAGAGAGAGAGAGAGAGAGAGAGAGAGAGAGAGAGAGAGAGAGAGAGTGTGTGTGTGTGTGTGTGTGTGTGGGGGTGACTGTGGATTATGGCCAGTTTACTTGTCAACTGCAAAGAATAAAATACTTTTACAATATAATACACTTATCTAGTTATTTTATTGCTTTTATATTATTTGGTTAACGATTGTACTTCCCTGCCTCCTGCACTTCTGTTCTTTTTCTCTTCTCTCCTTGTCCCCTTTTCTGAACCAAAATTTAACCTTTCGCTCTTCATTGTCCGTGTTACAGAGCTTCCCTGTTACGTACATCATCATCATCATCATCATCATCATCATCATCATCATCATCATCATCATCACATTCTTTCTCATCCTGGGTCAGGGCATAGGCCTCGAACGAACACTTTCCTCCTTTCCCTATCTTTGGCTAGCCTCTTGATGTTATTCCATGTCTTCCCACTTTTCTGTACTCCGATTTCTGTGGTTATTTACTATGTACATGCACCTGTATAAATGAAAGAATGACCTTCAGTTTCAAAATTATACAACATGCGGGATAACAAAAATAGCTGAAGAAAGTATATTATGTGTCGACTGTTCCGTCGTCTTTTGTGGGACGGTTAGTGGCATCGCCACCGTACACAGCAAAATAAGTGGGTTTGATCCCCGTGTTGGGAGTTGTTTTGCAATGTAAAACGATTATTATAAATAGCAACGGTTCGTTACGATTACAAATGTGACGAACGTAACACGACAGAACAAGGATCTGCTCATGCCAGCAATAATACAATAATACAAGCATCTCGGAAAATTGAGTATTTAATTTTTTTTTTTTTTTTTTATTTATTTAATTGAAGTAGCGAATTAAATGTTACCAAAAAAAAACCCAACACAATATTAATTTTAAAAGACTTCCCGTTCCAGTAGCTGCGTCTTGGCGAGTTGGTGTTTACTACTCTGAAGGAAAAAAAATGCCTTCCATATCGGGAGCTGTGCATTCAACTTAATCAGGGACGGGGTGAATTATATAATACTAGCTGGGTACCCCGTTCGATGAAGGGACTTAATCGTCAAGCCGTGCGCACAGCATGTGAATGTAAGTCTCACTTGTTTACTAAGGAAAAACTGAAAATTAAACTGCACTGGCTTCAGACTCCTTCGTATAACCGTGCACCCTTTAAATGATTCTGAACCACTGTTATTTTATTTATTTATTTTTATTCGAAAGTTAAGTGGTTCGGAAGTTTTAGGCGACCAACGTGACGAACTTTCACAAAAATATAATTGTTTATTTACGGCGGAAGAGCAATTTTATTCAATGGAAAACGAAATATGTCTTGAACACTGTATGTATTGAAATGACAAACGGGAAAATCGTAAACGGGGGATAGATCTAGTGTTTTCTATTTTTATAATTTTTAAGGCGAATGCACGCACTTACTGAGTTAATAGAAACTAAGATTCGTCTTTGAACTACCTTCAGTAATTTTTCCATGGTTCTACGTTTCCTAGGTGTTTTTTTCAGCTATAGAAAACAACTATCCACATGTACGCAATTACAGATAGATAATATGTAGCCTATATATTTAACTCAAAGAAATGTGTATGTTTCCTAGAGGTGAGGGGGGGGGGGCGTGGTGGGTGTCGGCTCCAGGGTGTAGTGACCCGTCTCCAAACTGCAGGGCGGGTCTCTTATTTTATGTTTCTTTAACTTGGGTTGTTTTGGGAGCGCTCGTGGCGAACCGACTATCTTTTGGCTTGGGCCTGCAGTGAAAACTAAATCGAGGGTCTGGCCTCTAAGTCTAAGACAACCTCAATGTGTTGAAAGAGGCTTCAAATTCAAATTCGAGTCGTAGTATGTCATATCGTACTCAATTTAAGTGGACTCGGTCAGTCCTTCGCATTATCATCCATGAATTAACTTATTAAGTATGATCAATCACAGATTATAATAAAAAATAAAATATACGGTAGCATAAATAAGATCGAGGGCACCACTGGTAGGTCCTACTTCTTTACTTTCCCTATGTTGTTTTTACTTGTCTATCTTACTTTTTCGAAGCACCAAATGACCGTCACCTGTCGATGTGCTTCTCTTTACTCAAACAAGCAAACAAACAAACAAACAAACAAAAACAAACAAACAAACAAAAAATCAATTATTCCAAACATATAATTGACTCCGCACAAGCTGGTCCTTTCTTCTTTCCTTTCCCTGTGCTGCTTTTTTCTGTCTCTCGTTTCCTTCTGTCTCTCCTTCTGTCCCTTTTTCTGTTCCCCTGCACTAAATTACCGTTCTTGTGTCGGTGTGCTTCTGTTTACTCCAAATAAACAAACAAGTTGGACAGCACCTGGTCAAGTAGAGCGGAAGGTCGATACACAGCTTGAATCTGACTGACAACTGACTATGAAGTAATGAGAATCTTTTCAGTACTTTGATTCACACCGTCTGTTGTGAATTTTCAATGACGTCAAATTTCCACCAATTAATTATTGCAAGTATTTATTTAAATAAAATCTCAAACTGCGAATTGGGTGAACTTGATTAAATCATTAAACGTTTTTATCTGTAGTAACACTTTAAGTCTTTGGCTTGAATTAGATGCTTTAGCTGTACTTTGTGGGTGGTTGGCGGGTGCTCTGGTGTGGTTTGCTCCTTCTTTCTTATCAAACATCTATCGTCCTTATCTCCCCTTCTTCTTTTTTATGTTTGTTACTCTCTTGTAACACCTCTAATCTTCTGGCGCTCAT